GAGTTTTTCCACCATCTCTTCTCACAAATGTATTCAATTTCATTTCTGTGTATGCCATCTGGTGAGGTCCATGTGCATAGTCGCCACTGTTGTTGTTGAAAAAAAAGTAGTTACGATGAATAAGGCATTCTTCTTGCAAAATTCTATCATGCCATCTCCAGCATCATTTCTATCACCAAGGCCATTTTTTTCCAACTACTGATCCTTCCTCTTTGTTTCCAACCTTTCCATTCCAATCACCAGTAATCAATATTTTGATTGCATGTTTGATCAATTTCAGACTGAAAAAGTTGGTAGAATTCTTCAATTTCAGCATCACTGACTTTAGTGGTTGGTGTGTAAATTTGAATAATGGTGGTATTAATTTTCCTTGTAGGTATATAGATATTATCCTATCACAGACAGCATAGATCTTGAAATGTTCTTTTTGACAATGAATATGATGCCATTCCTTTTCACTCTGTCATTCCTAGCCTAGTAAATGATGTGATTCAAAATGGCCAGTGTTAGTCCATTTCAGTTCATTAATACCTAGTATATTGCTGTTTATACGTTCCATTTCATTTTTGATAATGTTCCATTTTCCTAGATTCATACTTCAGACATTCCATGTTCCAATTATAAATAGATGTTTACAGCTGTTTCTCCTCGTTTTAAGTTGTGCTCCATCAGTAAATGAAGGTCTCCAAAGCTTTACTCTATTTGTATCATTATGGTCAAATTTATCCTTTGAGAAGGCAGCTCCTCCCCAGTCATATTCTGAGTGCATTCCAACTGGAGGGGCTCATCTTCTGGCACTGTATTGGACAATATTGGGGAGCTCTTCATCATGCATCAGTATTCAATACTGTAGTGGTACCTGACAGTGTTCCACTGGTATTTCTATGATTTTTAGTGGCTAAACATTAAGAAGGTAGTCCACCTCTACTTTTTTCCTAATGGTTTTAGTCTAGAAGTTCAGCTAAAACCTGCCCACCATGGATGACCCTTCTGGTATTTAAAATACGGATAGCATAGCTTCCAGTATTACAGTAACACGTAAGCCACCACAGTGTAACAAAATAACAGATGGATGGGATGATAGACAATCTAAAAATATAGGTGTAAGAGTCAGTGTTATGTTTTACTTAGTCTCTTGCCTCTCAGCCATGACGTCTAAAGAATGTTACAAATCAAGGTTCCTCTGCCAGCCTTGGTACCAGAGTGAAGATGTTGCAGAGTAGAGGTACAGCTCACCCATGACGAACACATAGTGTAAGCAAGAAATAAACCCTTGATGCTTCAAGCTATGTAAGTTTGGTGGAGTCCTTTGTCACCTCAGCATACCTAGTCTCTCCTGACTGATTCAGTACATAAAATGTATGGTATTTTATGATTAGATGATAATAAGTACTAAGGAGAAAAAAAGAAGCTCTGGTAGTATAGTGGTTACGAATCAGGCTGTGAACCGCAAGGTCAGCAGTTCAAAACTACCAGCTATTCCGCGGGAGAAAGATGAGGTTTTCTGTTCCCATAAAGATTTACAGCCTCAGAAACCCTGTACAGGGTCGCTATGAGTCGGAACCGACTCCACGGCACATAACAACAACAACAACAACAATGGTTAGTGATCATGAACATTTCTTCATATGTTTGTTGGCTTCCTGGGTCTCCTCCTTGGTGAAGTGTCTGTTCATGTCCTGTGCCCCCTTTTTAATTGGGTAATTTGTCTTTTTCTTGTAGAGGTTTTGTAGTTTCCTATATATTTTAGAAATGAGTCCCTTGTCTGATGTGTAATTGCAAAAGATTTTTTCCCATTCTAT